GGAGGAAGAGAGCCTTGAGAATGATTTTCAGGATTCCTGTCGAAAGAAAAGAGCGAGCGAGTTCACAAGAGAGGTTCTCTTATGTCAGACATCACCAATGATGTCATTATGAAAACAACTGAGAATAATGTTTGATCGATGATGTCATTAGAAAAATGACTGAGAGTTATGTAATCGAGGCGTTTGGAACAGTCCTGCTAGAGTTCTGGAGGGAAAGAGCTCAGATCTCAACACCCCCCCTTCCCTCTAGACGGAAAAGCCCAATCTGTTCCAAGGATTTCACCAAAGCCGGACGAGGTACCGATTTGGTAAGGAAGTCGGCAAGCATTTTATTCGTCGGAGTATATTTCAAAAAAATCTTAGCGTCTCTAATGACGTCCCTGATGAAGTGTAACTGAATCTCGACGTGCTTCATGCGCTTAGCGTTGGTGTTCGCCTCGAAGTTAGCCACAGCGATACAGCCTTGATTGTCTTCATGCACAATAGTCGGGCTGTCGGCGGAGGCTAGATTTACTTCATCAAGAAACTGCCTGAGCCAAAGCAGCTCGCAGGAGAAGTCCGTTAGAGCGCGGTACTCGGCTTCACAAGACGAAAGAGATACTACTGGCTGCTTCTTTGTTTGCCAGGAAATCAAGTGTCCGTTGAACAGAGAGAGATAACCGGTGACCGATCGTCGGGTAACTAAAACAATTTCCCCAGTCTGCGTCGGTGTACCCTCGCAAAGGTTCTGGGTCGCCACGGTTGTACACCAAAGCATTATCAGCCGTTCCAGCCAGATAACGCAGCACGTGAGTAAAAGACTCCCAGTGCGTGATACCAGGTTCCTCCAAAAATTGGGAAAGTGAGCAGACGGCAAACGCAATGTCCGGCCGAGTAGCAGTCAAAAGATAACTCAAAGCACCCACCGCGCTTCGATAATTGACGCCGAGAGACTTGAAACGATCCTGCTCTTCGACCGAGGCTCGAGAAAGGTGAGTGTTGGGGATCAGAGGCGTAGTAACTGTCCTACAGGAAGTCATACCATACAGTTCAAGAAGAGAATTGACATAATGAAGCTGCGAGAGGACGATAGCATCCGGTTCGTGGAGAACCTTGATACCAAGCATCAAGTCTGCGCGACCCAAGTCTTTCATGTCGAATTCAGCCTTTATTTGAGTTTTAAAAGGCTCGACATTCTTGCTGAACACCGCCAGGTCGTCAACGTGTATGAACACCCAAACAGGGTCCCCAGTCATCCGATAGAAGACACAAGGATCCGAAATAGCGATTGAAAAACCGACCGAAACCAACCATCTGGAGAGACGATTGTACCAAGCGAGAGGGGCCTGTTTGAGGCCATAAATGGCTTTGTTCAACTTTAAACAATGTTTTTTCTTGTCCAGATTGACGCCCTGAGGAACGGAGAGAAAAACCTCCTCATCCAGGTCAGCGTTGAGAAAAGCAGTCTTGACGTCCAACTGATGAAAGTCCAGGCCATTCGCAGCAGCGTACGAAATAAGAGCTCGAAGCGAGTTGAGGCGGCCTGTTGGTGCAAAAGTCTTTGAGAAATCAACGCCGTGAACTTGAGAGAAACCTTGAGCGCACAGTCGGGCTTTGAATGCAACAGCCTTGTCGTCTTTCTTCTTGCGAAAGACCCAGGTGGTCCCCACCGTTTTGATTCCCGGAGTAAGTTCCACTACAGACCAGACTTTGAGGCGTTCCATGGCATCCAGCTCCGTTTTAATTGCCGAAGTCCATCCGGTAGATTCTCTTCCGTTGACAGCCTGATGATAATGATTTGGAATGTTGTCACTGAGAGACGTGAAGAATACGCGTGCTTTGCGAATTCGTCGATGTTGAAGAATGTTTGCAGAGGAAATGTCTCCGACAATAATAGAAGACACCGGGACAATTTCATCACTGGCGGAAGCAGTAGAAGCATCGCCTTCAGTGGTCCCAGCATTGACAAGGGCCGGAGAAGGGTTAGATTCATCAGTAACCACGTCATCAACCGGATCATGAGTCGAAATGGAGGAGACATCAGAATCCGCTTCAAACAAGTCTTGAGCAAACTCTCCATCTTCCAATTCTTCACTCATAGAGAAGGGAACCGAGTCATTGGAGATTTTTGGGAAAACAGACTCGTCGAACCTTGCATGACGTGTCTTGACAAGCCTTCGGTCTCTGAGGCGAAGAATACGGTAGACTGATCCCTCATTTTCAAAACCGACAAGAATCCCGACGTCACCAGTGTTACCGAGCTTCCAGCTTCGGTGAGATTTAGGAACCGCAATGTATGCCTTGCATCCGAACGTTTTGAGGCGATGGCAAGGGGCATCCGTTTTAGTCCACATTTGATATGGGGTGGAAGGACGAGAGGGAGTAGACAGCATGTTGGAGATGAATGTGGCTGTGTTGACAGCCTCGGCCCAATAGTTTTTCGGGAGGCTGCTGGTCAGGAGAAGACACCTAGCTTTGTCTAGGATCGTGCGATTTGCGCGTTCCGCGAAACCGTTCAGTTCAGGTGTTTCAGCGGGCGAGAAAGTTTGGAGAATTCCCTTCTTTGTGGCGAAATTTTTGAATTTTTCATTCACAAACTCGCCACCCTGATCTGAGACAACCTCTTTGACCGATTGTTCTTGAAGGTTTTCTACCAGCGTCACAAAACGCTCAAACTCCTCAAAGGCTTGAGATTTCGCCTTCAAAAATCGAACAAATTTGAATGATGAGTACTGATCGACTATGGTGAGAAAATATTTGAAACCAGACAAGGAGGGAGGGCTGATAGGTCCCACAAGATCCATATGTAATCGCTGAAGAGTGAATTGAGTAGGAGAGAAATGACTAGGAAAAGGGATGAGAGTCATCTTTGAACAATTACACACCTCACACAGTGCCCCATCTTCAGAAACTGCTAAGCCCATAGTCTTCATGACTTGATCCGATGGATGTCCGAGTCGATGATGCCACAAGTCGTGATCGGTCTTCTTTTCAGTGATAAAGGCTTTTGAACAACATGTGTATTGCGAGTGAAGAAGATTATCGATTACTTCGCCGGTGAAAATTGATCCAGAGTCGTCAGATATGTCAAAGGAATTGGCCGTCTTAGTGATTTTGACGGAATTCTTGATGAGTCGAACAAGGGATATGAGTTGTTGCGAAATGTTCGGAACAAGCAGGCAGTCAAATAGCGTAACAATTTTGCCACCAGTGAAAATTTCCGCGGTACCGTGACCAGATGCAACGGTGGGCCAGTTACGCTAACCGTAGTGTTAGTGCAGCGTAGTGTTAGCTTTTTAAGCTACGCTACACAAAAGTTACTGTTAGCGAAAAATTTGGCCCACTAACACTACAGGATTTCTGAAAAAAAAAAAAAAAACTTTAGCGTAGTGTTAGCTGACTAAAAAAAACAACAACTAACACTAACCAAATCCCTTGTTAGTGGAATTTTAGCGTGGTTAGTGGGCTAAAAAGTTACACTAACTGTTAGTGTAACTTTTTGATAAGTTACAACAACTGTTAGCGTAGTGATCCCCTCAGTTACACTAACTGTTAGCGTAACTGATCAAAAAGTTACACTAACTGTTAGCATAACTGATTACTGAGTTACACTAACAGTTAGTGTAACTGATTACGCTCCTCCAATTGAAAAAAGTAGGTGGTATCACTAGGGGTGAGAGTTTGTTTGAGAATCTGGTTTCGAAGCTCCTGTTTTTTTTGGCTTGGCACCGTTTCTTTGCTGCTTTCATACTGGCATTATTATTACTATCAAGAGATAAATTAGTCCCCAGGGTTTGAATCACCCCAAGATCCATTTATTCCATCATTTAGTAGCCAGCTGCAGGAAAGGGAAACAGGAAGAGTAAGCAGAAGCAGAAAATTAGATCAGCAACCTGCGGGAGCTTAACACAAATTTGAAATCATACCGCTTTTCTGGCCCGTCCTGTTTGTAATCCACAGTCAATGGTCAAGAAAATGTGTGTGTGGGGGTACCTAAATCAAAGAGGGGGGAGGTTAGCAAGCATCAGAGCCAGGGTAGCAGTCTTCTAGTTTGTTCCCTTTTGGGGAAGCGATTGATTTTTGCTGGTTGACTTTGAGTAGCGATAACTTTTGCAAAAAAGGTCCGATTTCCTTAATTTTTGGTTCGTTGGAAAGCTGGCATTGAAGGCTACAACTTTGTCAGCCATTGTGTTGACTAAAAGCAAACGGTTGCTGAGATCGAATCGATTGAAGTTAGTCCAATGCAATCCAATGAGAGACCTAAGTTTCAGAAGAGGGAGTAAGCTGAAGAGACTTTTGGATTGGAGGATGTAATGGAGGTGGTTGTGATGAGTATTTAATTGAGATGAAGATCAGATTGAGCTTTGATGAAGTTGATGATGAGGATGAGGATGAAAAATCTTGATGGGGTCTTGCTTGGATCGGAAGAGATTGGAAGTCCGACATCCATCTCTCCTTGCTTGAACTTCAAGTTCAAACTCAGAGCCCAGGGAGTGAACATGTCACAGGCATGTCCATGACATCCTCTTGCTGACTGAACCTCAACTCACCGACCCATTCCTCATGTACTGCTAGTCATGTGGACAAGGAGGATGTCTGGAGATGCTACTAACCTGTCATGTCAAGTGTTCAATTCCACCTCAAGGCATGCATTTGTGTTGTTTTCTCACTTGAAATTTTTCATTTGTCCACCATTGTGTAGTGTAGCTTAAAATATAGTGTAGCGAAGTGTGGGACCAGTTACGCTAAATGTTAGCGTCAACTCAGTTACGCTAAATGTTAGCGTCAACTCAGTTACGCTAAATGTTAGCGTCAACTCAGTTACGCTATCTGTTAGTCAAAATTTTGTTAGTGAAAAAAAAGTTACACTACCTGTTAGTTTAGCGGTGATTATTTGAAGCTAACACTACAGAAAATTTGAGATAAAAATTTCACGCTACGCTGGCAGTTAGCTCAGCGGTGTTTAGCGTGCGCTAACACTACAGATCTTCTAGAGAAAAAAAAGGCCGCTACACTAACAGTTAGTGGTCAAATAGCGTAGTGTAGCGTAGCGGCCCACCGTTGCCAGATGCGATAAGAGGAGTGTCTGGATTTCCTGTTTTGATAGTGATCTTCTCATTAGTGAAATCCGAGAAAGCACTCCGATTACGAAGCATGTGGTGAGATGCAGCCGAATCAATGACAATGCTTTCGATTTTGTTGTCAGAGACATAAGACACAAATGTTGACGCTTGAGCAAAACTTGCACTCGCGTTGGGATTCTTCTTGAATGATTTGGAAGATCCGGAATTGTTTGGGCAAAGGTGAGGATATTTTTCAAAGCATCTCGGTTCGGCATGAGTCGTCGCTTCTGGATTGTGATCGCCATTTGCACAGAGATGAACTATCCTGAAAGGAAACTTTCCATTTGTTGGAATGGGGGTGGAAGTCGAAACAAGAGCGGTTGCCTGATCTGAATCCTTCTTAGATCCTTTATGGGTCAACCAAGTCTGAAGCGCATCCAGAACCAAGTAAGGGGATGAAGTACAGTCCTCGGACATGGCACAGTTGTCCACGATCTTGTCAAGCTTGTCGTCACGCATGAGTTTCCCGAGTACGAGATAAGAGATAATATCTAGAGGGAGAGTGATGCCGACGGCATCGATATCGAGAAGGTGCGCTCGAGTTCGATCAATATATTCTTGAAGATCACCCTTATAGAGTTCGGCCGACCATCCCATAAACACACGCCCACGATTGATAACGGAATGTGACGCGTACTGAGAAGCAATTTTCTTCCAGAGGGCGATGGGATCCGAGTCAGTGAGTGAATTGACGACTTCGTTATAACACCTGTGATTTATGCGAGAGGTGATGATAGAGATAGCTTTATCACCGGCCTCTTCGTAGGCGGTCTTCTCCTCGTCGGTAGCGTCCTCAGCGATGGGCACCGTACAACACTTCCAGAGCTTTTTGCCACGGAGGAAGATGAACATCCTGGAGTGCCAATTGGTGTAATTTGATCCATCCAAGACAGGCACTCCATTAGAAGCCGGCGTATCATGTTTTTCTGTCCCAGACATCGGTCCTGCCTTAGTTTGCGTAAGAGTTCGGGTCGATGGAGCGTTGAGCCAATCGAGACTGTAAATCTGTTAATTGTCAAACTAAAGGTTTTGTATTTCTGATCAGTAAGAGCACGAAATACAATAAGAGAAAAATAATAATGAGAAAAATAAAAAGAAGATTGTACCTAAAGGCAGGAGCAATTGAAACAAGGGACGTGATAAACAAATGCAACAAGGAAACAAGGAAAATAGAGAAGACCTAATAATGAAAGATGTCAGTTGAGGTTTTAGAAGAGTCGACGAATGAAGATTGAGTCGATGACCTACGACGATAGGAAGAAGGTTGAATGTGCTGAATATCGGCGGAAGGTCGAAAGGAAGGGGAAGCACTTAAGTCCACGAAGGAAGTGCGATGATCGGCGGAATGTCGATTAAGAAGGGAAGAAAGCGAGTAGCGATAAAGAGGAACAATATAGTCGACTATTATCTTACGAAAGAATATTAGAAATGATGAATTTGTCGAGGTAAGCGGATGAATCCGAAGACTTTACGAAGGAGGAAGAGAGCCTTGAGAATGATTTTCAGGATTCCTGTCGAAAGAAAAGAGCGAGCGAGTTCACGAGAGAGGTTCTCTTATGTCAGACATCACCGATGATGTCATTATGAAAACAACTGAGAATAATGTTTGATCGATGATGTCATTAGAAAAATGACTGAGAGTTATGTAATCAAGGCGTTTGGAACAGTCCTGCTAGAGTTCTGGAGGGAAAGAGCTCAGATCTCAACAACCTGTTGGTACCTAGGTACCTGTTGAATTTTTTCAGAAAATAGGTACCAAGTACCGCACCAGGCACCTCCAGGCGGGTACCGGCGGTACTTTTGGCAGGTACCGCGGGTACCTCCCCTCTCTTTTTCACTTAGTTCCACTAGCTATCTCAACATTACTTCATATCCTGCACTAGATATGTGGTAAGATGAAGCTGGATGTGCTGTTTTTTTACTTCTTCACACTATTTTAACAAAAAAAAGGAAAAAATATTGCATGTCCAGTTTTTTTTACTGCATATCCAGTACCGGATATGAAGTACTGTTGAAAGTGTATAGTCAATTTTTTCAATTTTTTCATATTTATTATGAAATGTGCAGGCCTCCCACCCACCCCATGTTAAAGAAGTGGGGAGGTACCCGCGGTACCTCCTGTTTTTTTTGCCAAAAACAGACACCTGGTACCACACCTGGCACCTCCCGGCAGGTGCGCAGCTGGTGCGAGAGGTACCCCCCAAGCGGTACTAGGTACCTAGCAAAGGGTACCGACGAACGATCTCTATACATTACTAAATCCCCCAGAAGACTCAGTACATCATTGAACCTAACAATGCCGTTCAGAATGAAAAAATGCATGATTTTTCTGCTCATCATGGTGCCAGCCACTTCCTGTGAACCCTCTCCAATCTGGAGATATTGAACCCAATAAAAACTGAGAAATAAGAAATCCGATTGGACCTTGACTGGATTAACTGTCTGTTCTTAGAGCAACTCCACCACGGCCCCTACTTCTGGGCCGTAGAATCTTGATGATCGGGTCCACACAGCCAGTTTTACAGTCTCAAACTTCTGCGGCATACACTGCAGCTTGGAGGAGTGGTTTGTAAAATTTGATGACAGGTGTGCTGCCGAGGTTGGTGTGGTGTGTGAGGGTTGGGTTTCACACATTGTTGTTGTGTGAAAGTGTTGTAGGTAGGCTGTAGGTGTGTCAGCTCTGGTCTCTTATGTGACCTAGAGTTGATGGGATTTTGGTCACACTTTAGCCAAAAAGGGCCAGTGGAATTAAGCCTCTCCTCAACACTAATACAGTGGAGGGGCTAGCTCCTTATAAGAATAAGGGACAACTGTGGGATGAGCTTCACAGTGCCTGAGCTGAAGGATTATAAGGAAATTGAGGTTTGCACTAGTCTTATAAGTTAAATATGTAACTTATAAGGCTAGTAAGAAGATAAAGAGAAATGTAATAACTAAGGTACAATAATTTACTGTAAAACCCCACTCACTAAGTTGTTTGTAATAACTAGTAAGGAACTTGGGTTTGTATGGTAATATTGTCTGGGGGATGAATCTCAGGGGGAGAGACATCCTCTTAAATATTACATAGCAGGGGTCAATTCTGCTGCTGGGACCGGTGCAGTCCCCTTATTGTTACACTTTTCCTTGGGGGAAAGTGTCAGGATATTCAGAGCATGATAAATGTACATGTGTTGAATATCCTTTATTTCAGAAAATACCATAAGAGAGATAAACATAATAAACATACACACAAGAGAGGTAAATTGGATAATCATCTCTTGGATACACCCAGGAGATAATTGTCCTTTTCAACTTGATTATAGTTTTCATGGAAGAGGTAAATTAATAAAGAGGTGAATCTTTATTAATTTACTGAATAATTATTAACATAAAAAATACATGTAAAAAGAGATAACATTACTTAATAATTATTAACTTAAAGATTACACATAATAATAATTGTTATGTAACCCAAGGGGGTTACATTCTATTGTAGACACCTGGGCTAGTGTCTCAGTGTCTGACAAGGTGACTCCCTAGGAGTCCCTACATGTGAGGACTCGCAAGGAGATTTGAGGGACTGCCGTAGATTTTAGCGACTGTGGTGGGTTGTGTTGAGTCTGTAAATTCCACCTACGGCCCCAATTTACGGCCTGCGGTGGAGTTGCTCTTACGCCTCCATTGACAACTGTGGCACCTATGGACTTATTTATCTCTTGAGTTTTTCAATGTGACAGGTATGCCACCTGAGCAACAACACAATGTTTCTGATAATCTCCCATCCAATCATGTGGGCAGGATCCAATGATCTGAAGCTTCCAAAAAGCAGGTTTTGGCAACTCAGAGCATCTCCAACGCGGGTGGTAAATTGGGGTTGTAAGCCCCGTTTACCACCCCAATTCCCAAAACACCCCACCACCGCGGGTGGTATGCGGGGTGGTAAGCTACATTTTCAGTCCAGAAAATGTACCGAGGTGGTAGATCTACCACCCCGGTACCTCCCTTGATACCGCTGTGGGATCCGTGATATCCACCCTCCATCTCATGAAACCCCCATAATCGCAACCGGTTCACATACAAATACCCCTCACTTGACCTTGCTCATTCAATCTCAGCGCAGGTTTGCCACTTTGCGGTGGCGCACCTGCCTGATTTCAGGTGGCAACTATGGAACGCGGGTGGTAAATCCTTTGTTTACCACTCCGGATTTACCACCCGCGGTGGAGATGCTCTCACAAAGTGGCCTCCTTAGAAATTGAATGGAGGTAGCTGACTCAGTTTTGCTCACATCAGGGATGCTCTCCTTTGGAGAGCGTGCCTTTGGGACCCCCCGATTGAGAGGCTTAGTTAAGCTTGGTCCTGACCAAGTCTCATGACTTCAAGTTTGTGTTTTGGAATCCAAAATAAGTAGCTACTTTTCACTGTCTGCCCACTGTACTGGTGGATTATGCAGCTCGTTCAGATCTAGGCTGGAGTCTGAACTGTCCTACATAATCATAAACTGCCCAACCCCTCATGTGGGTGGGGGCAACTGGAGCTGATGATCACCCTAGGGATTTGGAGCAGTGCTCAGTTCTCTTTATCATCAGCTGTTTATCACGGATTTCTAATTTGTTATGTTTGGATTGGAGGACTTCCCGTTGGTTTTACAGCCCCTGTAAAGCTATTTTTACAGGCTGTAAAGCTAGACTAAAAATACACAAGCCCTTTTAACCACCGGCTCATCTCGCGTGACCCGACCTGACTTAACTAAGCCTCCCGGAACGGGGGTGCAGAGCACCCCGATGCGGAGCATCTCCCATTCCCAACGGAGGGGCGCTTCGCGCCAGCCTGTTCCAGGCCCTCCGATTGAGGGGCTTGTGTTAAGTCAGGACCCGACCGGCTCCTAACTTATCAAAGTCCCACCCAGTTGCGGTTGGGCGTGCAGTGGTGAAGCACTGAGCCCCGCCCGACCGCAGGGAGGGACTTATGCCTGAAGTGGGGGTACCTGCCGGAGGCCATCCACCCAAATATGTCGAATTACCACTCTTTAATTTTTAGAGAGTTAAGCTTCAACTCTCTTTGTCCCAAGTAGCCAAAAATTTCAAGGTACGCATCTTTTTGATTTTTCAAGCCTTTCACCTCATCATACTGATCACACAATTATTTTTGGTTAATTTTCAAAGAAATTTGCCCTTTGAAATCGGATTTGGTCCAAAACAGGCGAACCAAGGTATGTGTATAGTTCTTCTTTTTTTCACTTGACCGTTTACCTTCTGCTCTTTTTTTCGATCATCTCCTTTTTATAATTCAACGTCTCTCTTTCAACACTCCGACGCTCCCTCTCCCCAAGTTTCCTCTCTCCAGATACTGATCGGAATGTATGCGGGACCCCAGTGATCCAATCTGCAACCCTTGAAAATAAATCCGCTATTGTCTCAATCTCGATGTCTCCGTCACCGTCACAATCATCTCCACAGCCAACACCACAAAAAAGATTTACCTCGGCAGAAAACAAACTCAAGCAAATTTCTGATCTGATTGCCCGATTGAACTGGGAGCCGAAATCGTACATAGTTAACTTTTTAAACACACCATCGGAAGACTCGGTTCTTAAACGGCGCTTCTGGGGATCAACAGGGTGGCCGGGAACTAGGCGACTTTTAGATGCGATCAAGCGAGTTGTTGGAAAACATAATAGTGGGAAAGCCCTTTGGGAGGATTACATATTGGATGAGGTTTTTAGAATCATTTTTTGATTGATCTTGTTAATGTTATTTTCCTTGATCTGACATATTTTTTCATTTTTCCCCATCTCACAATAGGCTATCCTTATTACGCGCAAACAGAAGCCAAAGAGCGGTTACTTTCCGAAAGGGTCATACTACAGCTCAAAAAAAATTGATGAGGAATTTTTTAGCGAAGATTCTCTGAATAAGCGTTCCGATCTTCTTACAGATGAACAGATGCCTTTTCTTTATAATTTACTCATGGGAAAACTAGCCAGGCCACCAACAGGGAACACTTCCGATGATGAAGGCTCAAGCGAAGACGGTTCTGTTGATCTTTCAGCCTTTGACGAGCCTACCCTTCCTTCCGAGGATCTACCAGATGTACCGATTCCTCCCCTTGAAGGCGACCCCTTGGCTGATCAAAACCCAAAGATTCCCCTCGATCTGACGGAGGACAATGTGATGGAAGTCGATGGCAACATTTTACGCCCAAGTTCAAACCCCGTAACTCGAAAGTTATTACAAAACGAAGATGTAACTAATTCATTCTAGATTTTGGTTCAAATGGCTTGAAAAGTGGCTAATTACCCCTTTTTTATTTTTGTTTAATTTACAGATGGCACGAACCATCTGTTCTATGATTGCATTTGGATGCAACCGGCGCCATAACGGCTTACAGCTGATGAACGGACTACTCTTCATTGCATGCGGAGTCACCGAGCGTGTTAACAAGTATCTCAACTACGTCGGCATATCGTGCTCTCGGAAAACGGCACATATCGGTCTGGCGAGCCTCGGCAAAGAATTTGAGAAGAAACTAAGGGATCAGCTTGGAGACAAGGATTCAAATGTGTTTCCACCTTCGATCTGCATCGACAATCTAGATTTCCAACAATCAATCCACACAAAATCTGTCGGACAATCAAGCACCATGTTTCATGGCACATGGGGTTACATCCATCGCTTACCCCACGAATTTTTCCAAAGCCTTGATAATTCTGAGCTGACTCTAGCAGCATTGAAACGTGCACTGAAAGAAGGCATTTCTTTAGAAGTTCAACCTCGGCACTTTGGTCCAACACCGTCCAGCGAGCAACACTTCAAAGCCACCCTGAAATCTCAGCTCACCGGTGTTCTCCTTCGTTTTGTAGCTTCCACAAATGACAAGAAACAACTCCTTTCCACTCAACCACCACCTGTCAGACCAATAAAACCGGAGAAGCCCAACCTGACTATGCTGAAGCTCATGATGGCTTCTGACAATTCATCTGAAGGAATCGGTGACGTCCTTTCAGGTCTCATTAAACAGTCTGGCCTGACTGCCGAGGAGTTTTCAACCCGACTACAAGTTCTTGAAGGCGACCTGGGGACCTGCATGAACATCTTGAGCCTTCGAGAGCTTCGCATCCCGGCCGGCTATGCTAAAACGAGTCTTGCACACATCCTGTCAATCCCCGGTGCAGCTCATACAATGTGGAACTTTTCTCAGGCAATTTTCCTGCATCACTGGGGTGATCAGACCAATCGGAAGGACACTGGAGCGTGGCGCATCCTCAAGGCTCTCGGAATCCCCTCAGAAAAACCAGTAACCAAACGCGATTTCACACTCATGATGACCAACATGGAAAGGATCCATGATGCTGATCTTCTCTATTGCATTCTGTAAGTATTTAAACCATATTTTTTTATCTATCTGATGTTTGATGAAATGTTGATAAATATATTTCTCCTGATCAAATCAGTGTTGTAATGGGAATAGAGAGCCAACCTGTCCCTGAAGAATTGCCCACCATGTCCCCATCATCGATTGAGGAAATTGTTGAGCGCACTTACGATCGTTTCTTATCCGGTGAGGCACTTGAGGATGCAACACAAAAAAAACAAGACAAACTTGTCAATCTTCTGTTACGGCTCCGAGATTTCGCAACAGTCATTGAAGTTAATCGTGCCACAAAGGCAGGTGATACAGGGAGGCTAATGTACATGTGGAAACGGTAGGCTGTGATGGGACAAGGGCTGAAGAAGCTTGTTCATTATTCTCGTCACCTCCCACAGCTGATTCTTCTACTTGAAGTTATACTCCCAAAGTCGCTCGCCAAAGTCATTGAAAGCGCATTGCTCTTGTGTCCTTCTGGGAGAGAAGAACACTTTGTTGCAACCGACTTTTACTTGGAAGTCCAGAATTACTGGCTCAAGTACTTCTATAATCATTCCGGCATTGGAACTAATATTGAACGATTACGAGATGTCTTTTCTATCAATATTCCAATTGTAAGTCCCAACACCTCTTTCTACCAGCAAATGAAATTCCCAAACTGATACATTTACAAATGGAATAGCTCAAAGATCTGATGCATATACTCAATCACAATTCGGGGATGAATGTAATTCAACAATCGCACAAGACTACAATAACAAATCTCTCTATCAACTCCTTCACGAGATTTGCCAAGCAATACAACATCTGCTTGTCGGATGAGAAGGCTGATGAATTCATTCCAAAGTTGATTTCAAATGTCTACGAAGAAGGTATTGAAGCAATTGAAGAGGATTTTAAAAAAAGGAAGGGTGGTCTTGATCGATTGAAACCAGCATACATGTTTGATCAAGAGATGGAGCATCCAGACAAACCGCGAAGTACAACTGATACTGGTGATTCAGACACTTCGGATGATCCAGATGATTCGGACGATTCAGAAAGTTCAAACGATTCAGGCAGTTCAAACGATCCAAGCAGTTCAGGTGATTCCAACACCACCGATGGATCCAAAACTTCAAACTCATCCCGATTGCCAGCAACTCCTGGAGATTCAGGCAAGTGCTTTCACTTCTGCTTTCTTCTTAGCTTCAGCAGCTCGAGCTTGCTTGAAACTTTCCAATGCAATTGCGTCTTCTGCTCGCTTGGCGACTTTCTCCGCTAGAGACTTTTCGTCTCTTTTTCTTCTCTCTTCAGGCGACAATCTGATCCTCTTTGGTTTTGGTTGTAGAGTAAAAGAACTAGTTGAACTTTCGGGGACCTCGCCTCTTTCTCTCCTTTCTTCGGCTTCGGCAGCTCGGACTAGCTTAAAGTTTTCTAGGGCAATCGCATCTTCCGCTCGCTTCGCTAGTTTCTCGGCTTCTTTCTTCTCATTTGTCCTTTTCTTTTCTTCTGCATCGCTCTTCTTCTTCTCTTCTTTATCTTTCTTCTCCTTCTCTGCTTGTCGTGTTCCTTCTTCTATCTCGAACACCTGCAGTTCAAACCACTCGGTTTTTTTGTATGATTCAACAAAAGCAAACATCGTTTCAAGCTGTTTTTCGAACCACTCCCCCCCAATGAGTCTTGCAATCAATCCGGGTTCGTGTATGTCCTCAAATGCCTCAGCAACCAGCTTTGCCTTAGCTTCACCAAAGAATCGAGCCGCTTTGAGTTCAGGCTTTTCACCCATCAGATCGTGATAGAAGGATTCAAAATTGACTACCAGGTCGTCGGCAATTTTCTTCACAACGGCTTTGGAGAATCGGCTCTTGTATTTTTTTGTGGTATGTCTCTTCTTTTTAGGTTTAATATAAGCAGGCAGGTCTGCCGCAAAACGACTAGGATCACTCAAGATATCCTCAAAATTCTCTTTTGTGAATAAATGCGCTGAGTCGTGTATTTGAACTGCCGCTTCGGGCTCACAGTTTGAGCAAGCACAGCGATCGAACTTGAGATACTTCTGACGAGATTCTTCTTTGAGATAGTTGGAGTCGTCCTTGGAGATTGGTATGTATCCATAGCTTCACAACGAAAACACTCTTTTTTAGCTAATATCCCGATGCAATCAGTCAAAAATAAAACTCACATGTTATCCACTGCATTAGCTACCCTGAGACAGACCGGTGTCACGGCGTAGGCGTCCATACTAGGGTTGACGGCGCCACCCCTAGGTGCGCGCCGATGTGCGGGCGCCTCGCACCCTCGCCCACGGCGCGCACATTTTTCCAAAAAAGGGGGGTGTGCGCGCACTTCTAACCCTAATTTTTAGAGGGGGAGGGCTGGAGGCCGAGTGACTTTTCCAGTTTGAAAGGGCAACCCTGAAAGCTCCGTAAGCTAGTCCGGGAGTATGTCACCGCTTTGCTATGAGTTTCTAGCTTTTTTTTCACACATGTGAGTGCGGAAGACGTCTTGAGGCTTGCAGGTTGTATTGAGATTGGTACTGCCAATTCCAAATGTAGTTCTCTTAAACCTCCAACTTTTTATACAATAATAATATGTACTATGTACATCATCTTTCTATATTTTTGACATGCCACCACAAGAAATACAAGCAATTCAGAGCTGCAAGGATGGTCTAAGCCAACAAAATATCATGGTCTGCTATGGACTGGATTCTTAATGTCAAACATACGGACGGACCAATCTCGAAGGTGCCAAGCTAAATGTACCTACTGCCAAAGGGTGTTCAACCAAGCGAAGCCTGCCCAGCTTTTCTCTCATATCAAGGAATCTTCATTCACTTGTAAATAGCCTAACAACAATCCAAATACAACGGAATACAACGTATATATTCTTTTCATTGAAAAAAAAACCTCGCCTAGGCTCGCCGCTACTGCGCCTGCCAAAGGCGCGCACTTGGTGGTAGGTTTGTAGGCGCCCACTGGCGCGCACATTTTCAAATGTGGCGCCGTCAACCCTAGTCCATACGATCATCGTCGGTGAGCTGTTCTTTCCCACTTCCAAAATCCTTCACCGCATTCTTTCCGTTCTTTCTCTTCCGCTCCATGAATAAGATCGCTAACCCCGGTCGTCCATCTCGTCCGCAACGCCCCATCATTTGGCTGATCATTGACGGATCGCCTCGGCCAATGTGTATGACACACCTCACTCGCTTCCAATTCTGACCCAGGCCAAGTGCCATTGTACTTGAAAAGATCGGAAAATCCTCGTTCTCGAAATCTTTGGTGCAGTCTAGCTTATCTTCGTTTCCGGTACAGGCATGATAGCGTCTGACAAATTTGCTTGCACTATCGTAATCCTTTCTCTTTTTCCCTCTTGCTTTGTTCAGAACATCAATCACACTTAGGGTGGCTTTTCGAGTTCCAGAGTAAATCAAGGTAGGAATTAAGTTGTCATCTGATATTTCAGCTTCCTTTGAGAACATTCTTAACAGATCTTCGCAAGATTTGAGTGGATAGTCCATGTAGAACCTCAGGATTCGGATTTCGTTTCGTACAAGTTCTCCATGGAAGAAAGTAACATCGACCCGTTTAAGCATCAAGCTGCCTAAGATCGATTCAACAGCAACAGGGCGGCAGGTTGCCGACAGTAGCAATATTGGCACATCACTCGTAGCCATCAATCGATCTCCCAGCTTTCCATACGACGGCCGAAAAATTCCATAGTCTTGGAGTCGATCCCGTACTGACAGAAACTTCGCTTTCCCCGATTCGACCAGCCCCCACACGTAAACCATGTGCGCCTCGTCCAGAACAATCAGGACAAGTCGGCTTTGAAATTCGCTGCTAAAGTATAGCTCTGTAAACAATTCGTTGTTTAGGAAGACTTCCGGGCTCTTCAAACCAAATCAAATCAGTAGATATTCGAACAAAGGTCAACAATCAAACAGTAGACAAACCAAGTAAACAAAGGCATAATCCCCTCGCTTTATTGCTTGCACTAAATCTTTTGTTAGAATCATTTTTCCAAGGCTGATCGACTTTATGTTTGCTCTCGTCTTTTCTCGAACCTGCACAGGCCAGCAACTTGGTCAATTTCTTTTTCATCCTCATTCTGAACTGAGAAAGCTGGAAACGTACTTGATCTTCCCCCAAAGAATCCAACGGATTGAGTACAAGCACCACTGGCTTCCTTTGTGGTGCATACATGTGGTAGTAAAGCTCTGCTATCCTTGACTTTCCGTATCCAGTTCCAGCAAGGACAAAGCTGTGATACCCTCGAGCAAGATTACAGACGGTGTCCACCTGTAGTTTTTTTGGGTCTTCCTTATAATGTTCTTTCGATTGACCTGTAACATAGTCTCTTAAATTATCATTGTCTAAGCTCGTAATTTCTTGAGTCAACTGTAGATGAGCCTTGTTTCCCTTCAACTTCGGAGGTGGTAATGAAGTCGATTCAGCACGTGCTTCAGATGGATTCCGGGCTGATATCGCTAGTGATGACCCGTCCATAGTTGCACAACGACGATTGTGTACAGCTTCGTTGTCTCGTTGTCTTAGATTCTCAAGGGATTAGTTGATTAAAGGTTGATTACCCTTATCTCCTCAAAACAAAACTCAATCGATCTCACTACCTACCCTGGGGTGCATACATGCGTTACTGACGCTAATTAGGACGGTTGAATTATAGATTTACATTCTCAACGGCTTAATTTGTCCGAAATGGATTTTATTACGAGCAGAGGGACAATGCGCTACCCCCTATTACCTCCGGACATGTTTTTCGAGCTTTTAAAGCAAACTATTACAAACTTTCCAAAACAGATCCCACGGAAGGAAAGCCAGGATGCAAGTGCATCTTTCCTTCCGCGGAGCTATCCATCTAGCTCTTAAAACGAGCGAGCTACAGTCTGTGGAACTTGAACCACATTTTTCGAAGATCCCCTCTGGTGAGTACACCACCGGGCGTGGTGGATGGCATTTGGACACCCAATCGGATGTACCAAATGCCATCCGACCTTGGCCCTGCAACGAGCATCCATTGGATGCGACTTGCATATTGCTGAATCCGGATGGCAGGGCCAAACCATCCATCGGATGGTAGGATTAGAAGCCCTTGGGGCCAAAAAGTATCAGGCCCCAGGCTCGAACCTATGACCTCATGGACTGCCACCAGTTACTTAACTGATGCAGCACTATGCACTCGACTATACAGGATTT